TACATATACTTGTATACCTTGTACATGTACTGGTATACCTTGTACATGTACTTTATACCTTGTACATGTACTTGTATACATTATACATGTACTTGTATACCTTGTACATGTGCTTGTATACCTTGTACATGTACTTGTATACCTTTTACATGTACTTGTATACCTTGTACATGTACTTGTATACCTTGTACATGTACTTGTATACCTTGTACATGTGCTTGTATACCTTGTACATGTACTTGTATACCTTGTACATGTGCTTGTATACCTTGTACATGTGCTTGTATACCTTGTACATGTACTTGTATACCTTGTACATGTACTGGTATACCTTGTACATGTGCTTGTATACCTTGTACATGTACTTGTATACCTTGTACATGTACTGGTATACCTTGTACATGTACTTGTATACCTTGTACATGTGCTTGTATACCTTGTACATGTACTGGTATACCTTGTACATGTACTGGTATACCTTGTACATGTACTTGTATACCTTGTACATGTGCTTGTATACCTTGTACATGTACTGGTATAACCTTGCACATGTACTGGTATACCTTGTACATGTACTTGTATACCTTGTACATGTGCTTGTATACCTTGTACATGTACTGGTATACCTTGTACATGTACTGGTATACCTTGTACATGTGCTTATATACCTTGTACATGTACTGGTATATCTTGTACATGTACTTGTATACCTTGTACATGTACTGGTATACCTTGTACATGTACTGGTATACCTTGTACATTTACTTGTATACCTTGTACATGTACTGGTATACCTTGTACATGTACTGGTATACTTTGTACATGTACTGGTATACCTTGTACATGTACTGGTATACCTTGTACATGTACTGGTATACCTTGTACATGTACTTGTATACCTTGTACATGTACTTGTATACCTTGTACATGTGCTTGTAGTAAATAAAGATTATTACTATTATTATTATTATTATTATTACTATTATTATTATTATTATTATTATTATTATTATTATTATTATTATTATTATTAATATTGAATGTCAGTCAGATCTGTTCAAACATTGTATCAAGCTAAAATAATCTTTAATCTTTCTGTTTATGGTGTGATTTTTGGTCCTGGGAGAGAGTTGGAGTGGGAGAGAGGGGATTAGTGAGGCATTATGAGAGGGAGAGGGAGAGAGAGGGAGAGAGAGGGAGAGAGTGTTATTATTTGATCTGGTGATAAGAAAAAACGAGAGAATACAAGCGGAGTGGGATTTCTTCCACTCCCACAGAGAATGTGACTGGAGTATTGTGGTTCCAGGGGTCGAGTCACAGCTCCTAGCCCCACCTATTTCCTGGTCGATAACTCCACTCTCTCCCTGATACATGACCTTTATCATACCTCTTCTTGAAGGTATGTATGGTCCCTGCCTCCACTACATCACTCTCCAGATTTTTGTACTTCCTGACAACTCTGTGACTGAAGAAATACTTCCTAACAGCCCTGTTGCTCTTCTGAGTTTTCCGCTTCCAGCTGTGACCCTTTGTTGCTGTGATCCCTTGTTGCTGTGATCCCTTGTTGCTGTGATCCCTTGTTGCTGTGATCCCTTGTTGCTGTGATCCCTTGTTGCTGTGATCCCTTGTTGCTGTGATCCCTTGTTGCTGTGATCCCTTGTTGCTGTGTCCCCTTGTTACTGTGTCCCCTTGTTACTGTGTCCCCTTGTTACTGTGTCCCCTTGTTACTGTGTCCCCTTGTTACTGTGTCCCCTTGTTGCTGTGTCCCCTTGTTGCTGTGTCCCCTTGTTGCTGTGTCCCCTTGTTACTGTGATCCCTTGTTGCTGTGATCCCTTGTTGCTGTGTCCCCTTGTTACTGTGTCCCCTTGTTACTGTGTCCCCTTGTTACTGTGTCCCCTTGTTGCTGTGTCCCCTTGTTGCTGTGATCCCTTGTTGTTGTGGTCCCTTGTTGCTGTGACCCTTTGTTGCTGTGATCCCTTGTTGCTGTGATCCCTTGTTGCTGTGACCCCTTGTTGCTGTGTCTCCTTGTTGTTGTGTCCCCTTGTTGCTGTGTCCCCTTGTTACTGTGTCCCCTTGTTGCTGTGTCCCCTTGTTGCTGTGTCCCCTTGTTACTGTGTCCCCTTGTTGCTGTGTCCCCTTGTTGCTGTGTCCCCTTGTTGCTGTGTCCCCTTGTTGCTGTGATCCCTTGTTGCTGTGGTCCCTTGTTGCTGTGACCCCTTGTTGCTGTGTCCCCTTGTTACTGTGTCCCCTTGTTGCTGTGTCCCCTTGTTACTGTGTCCCCTTGTTGCTGAGTCCCCTTGTTGCTGTGTCCCCTTGTTGCTGTGTCCCCTTGTTGCTGTGTCCCCTTGTTGCTGTGTCCCTTTGTTGCTGTGTCCCCTTGTTGCTGTGTCCCCTTGTTGCTGTGTCCCCTTGTTGCTGTGTCCCCTTGTTGCTGTGTCCCCTTGTTGCTGTGTCCCCATGTTGCTGTGTCCCCTTGTTGCTGTGTCCCCTTGTCATTGTGTCCCATTGTTGCTGTCTCCCCTTGTTGCTGTGACCCCTTGTTGCTGTGACCCCTTGTTGCTGTGTCCCCTTGTTGCTGTGTCCCCTTGTTGTTGTGTCCCCTTGTTGCTGTGTCCCCTTGTTGTTGTGTACCCTTGTTGTGTCCCCTTGTTGCTGTGTCCCCTTGTTGCTATGTCCCCTTGTTGCTGTGTCCCGTTGTTGCTGTGTTCCCTTGTTGCTGTGTCCCCTTGTTGCTGTGTCCCCTTGTTGCTGTGTCCCCATGTTGCTGTGTTCCCTTATTGCTGTGTCTCCTTGTTGCTGTGTCCCCTTGTTGCTGTGTCCCCTTGTTGCTGTATACCCTTGTTACTGTGTCCCCTTGTTGCTGTGTCCCCTTGTTGCTGTGTTCCCTTATTTCTGTGTCCTTGTTGCTGTGTCCACTTGTTGCTGTGTCCCCTTGCTGCTGTGTTCCCTTGTTGCTGTGTCCCCTTGATGCTGTGTCCCTTTGTTGCTCTGTCCCCTTGTTGCTGTGCCCCCTTGTTGCTGTGTCCCCTTGTTGCTGTGTCCACTCGTTGCTGTGTCCCTTTGTGTTGTGTTCCCGTGGCCTGGTGGCAAATCTCTCGTTTCATACACTGAAGTCCGGGTTCGATTCCAGGTAAGGATAGAAACACTGGGCGTGTTTCCTTACAACGGTTGGTTGTCCATGTTCACCCATCAGTAAATTAGGTACCTGGATGTTAGTGGACTGGTGTGGGTGGCATCCTGAGTGTTAGTGGACTGGTGTGGGTGGCATCCTGGGTGTTAGTGGACTGGTGTGGGTGGCATCCTGGGTGTTAGTGGACTGGTGTGGGTGGCATCCTGGGTGTTAGTGGACTGGTGTGGGTGGCATCCTGGGTGTTAGTGGACTGGTGTGGGTGGCATCCTGGGTGTTAGTGGACTGGTGTGGGTGGCATACTGGGTGTTAGTGGACTGGTGTGGGTGGCATCCTGGGACAAAACTGACATAATTTGCGGGAAATGCTCAGCATAACAAGCAACTTTCTATATAGTAGTATGTCACTGATGTCAGCTATGATCTGTATACCTTGTACATGTACTAGTATACCTTGTACATGTACTTGTATACCTTGTACATGTACAAGGTATACACGTATACCTTGTATACCTTGTACATGTACTGGTATACCTTGTACATGTACTGGTATACCTTGTACATGTACTGGTATACCTTGTACATGTACTTGTATACCTTGTACATGTACTTGTATACCTTGTACATGTACTTGTACACCTTGTACATGTACTTGTATACCTTGTACATGTACTTGTATACCTTGTACATGTACTGGTATACCTTGTACATGTACTTGTATACCTTGTACATGTACTTGTATACCTTGTACATGTACTTGTATACCTTGTACATGTACTGGTATACCTTGTACATGTACTTGTATACCTTGTACATGTACTTGTATACCTTGTACATGTACTGGTATACCTTGTACATGTACTTGTATACCTTGTACATGTACTTGTATACCTTGTACATGTACTGGTATACCTTGTACATGTACTTGTATACCTTGTACATGTACTTGTATACCTTGTACATGTACTTGTATACCTTGTACATGTACTTGTATACCTTGTACATGTGCTTGTATACCTTGTACATGTACTTGTATACCTTGTACATGTACTGGTATACCTTGTACATGTACTTGTATACCTTGTACATGTACTTGTATACCTTGTACATGTACTTGTATACCTTGTACATGTACTTGTATACCTTGTACATGTACTGGTATACCTTGTACATGTACTGGTATACCTTGTACATGTACTGGTATACCTTATACGTGTACTGGTATACCTTGTACATGTACTGGTATACCTTGTACATGTACTGGTAGTAATATTATTATTATTATATGTCCCGTTAAATGATAAATAACTTTGAATTTACAACTTGAGTTGCAAATAAAGGTGCTGATATGAACGCTGATGCTGTCCAACTGTAGTTCTTATTATTAACTTCACCTTCTATATAAACTTCAGAAGTGATAAACAAAACTCTTAATTTCAATTTTAATTTGAGGAATGGTATATAAAAGCTACAATTTGACTTTTAACTGTAATTTGAGTTATTGCAAAAACAAAAAAAAAAATGCAGATGTGAACGCTTATGCTGTCCAGCCGTAATTCTTATAATTTCTACTTTAACATCTATATAAACTTTAGAGGCGATAAACAAAACTATTAATTACAATTTTAATTTGAGGAATGGTAAATAAAAGCCACAATTTGACTTTTAACTGCAATTCTAGTTTTTGCAAATAAAAATCCACATATGAACGCTGATGCCATCCACCAGTAATTCCAATAACTTCAACATCTACATAACTTCGAAAATTATAAACAAAACCACTATAATTTCGATTAAAAAAAAAACCCAAAATCCACTAAAAACCCAATTTCTCAACCAAAAAAAAGGTAAACAAAAGTTGAGATACGAACGCTGGTGTCGTCTGCGTCAAGATGTCCGGGAAGACCACCAGAGCCAACCGTTTAGAGACTGATATAGAGCGAAGTAGAGAAGAATCTAACTGGAAGAGGGTTATAGAGCTGGCTGAGCACCTTAAGGCTCGGAACCAGCCGGGTTTAGGTGCGTATGAGGGGGAATTAGGTGTCCAGGGACGGGTTTAAGGGGCACCTCGGGTACCTAAGCCCTTCAAGGGTACATATAAATAGTTATATAAATTATGTAAATTATCATATATAACAGCATAAATGTACATAAACCCCCCCAAAAAAGGTTATTGTAACTTATTTCCATTGGGGTCCTTGATATTTTGGGCGTCCTTGATTTCTATTCCCCTCAGGGGAGGTTCCTTGATGTTGGTGAGGGGCTCTTGATCTAGGGAATTAGATCTGTGCTCCAGTTCCCTGAATTGACCCTGAATACCTTCCATCATCCCCCCCACACAGGCGCTGTACAATCCTACGGGTTTAGCGCTCCCTATGATTGTAATAATTATAATGATTTCCATTGGGGTCCTTGACTTACATTGGGGTCCTTGAATTACATTGGGGTCCTTGACTTACATTGGGGTCCTTGAATTACATTGGGGTCCTTGAATTACATTGGGGTCCTTGACTTACATTGGGGTCCTTGAATTACATTGGGGTCCTTGAATTACATTGGGGTCCTTGAATTACATTGGGGTCCTTGAATTACATTGGGGTCCTTAAAAGATAAAGATTTTATTTCTTCGTAAAGGTTACAATGTGTAATTACAATTTTGGTTTGCTAGGTACGAAGAAAGTCACTATCATGCCGGGGCATTTCGGGCAGATTAATCCTAGTACGGTGGAGCCTTGGCATGCGACCTTAATTCATTCCAGGAGGTTGTTCGAGTGCCGCTCCGTTTGAGTATCGAACAAGTTTTTCCCAACCAATTTTGTGTTTGGTTGGTTGTTATCACTAATCATCGTAGGCCCCATAGTGACTTATTTATACAAATAATGCAAAAAAAACACCAAAAGTGAAGAAACACGACATAGTTTACAGCGACGTTTTGGCAGGTCATATTTGTTTGTTCGAGTAGGGAGCTGGTCATATACCGAGGTTCCACTGTACATAAAAACTACTTAAATCTAGACAAGATAACAACGGTTAACTTATATTAAAGTCTTTATTTAATCTTAATACTAATACGAGGTCGTCGAGGCGGAGGTTTATAAGGATAATAATCTTGAAGTTTTACATAATAAAAGCAATATTACAATTAATGATTCAAATCGTAATATTTCATGGATGTTTTAATAGACTAGAGGTCGTATAATATAATAGTATTTGGGAGAGTTGCTTCAAACTGGTTAGAAGTTTTGGTTGGTTTGGTTAGTATTAAGATAAGATTTCATTCAGATTTTTAACCCCGGAGGGTTAGCCACCCAGGATAACCCAAGAAGTCAGTGCGTCATCGAGGACTGTCTAACTTATTCCCATTGGGGACCTCAATCTTGTCCCCCAGGATGCCACCCACATCAGTCGACTAACACCCAGGCACTTAAATAACAAAAAAAGGCACAATACCATGACTGGAGTGATACATAAATAACCTGCACATAAATGGTCCGAGTTGGACCGAAACGTCGTCGTAAGCTTCTCTCTTTTATGTGCGGGTTATTTGTGTACCCAGGTACTTATTTGCTGGTAGGCGAACAGGACAACAGGTGTAAGGAAATGCACTGAAATGTTTCCACCCGCCGGGAATCGAACCCGGGCCCTCCGTGTGTGAAGCGAGAGCTTTAGCCACCAGACTAATGATTTTTAAGCAAAGTCCTAATCTTTTACCGGTTCAGGTAGTGAATTCCAGATCTTCGAGCCCTTTATGTACATTACATTTTTGCGTAGTGAGAGACTGACATAAGGGATGTTGAAGAGTGCCTTGTGCCTTGTATTATGACTGTGCGTTCTGTTGTAGCTATCAAGGAATAGTTTAAGTGGTGGGTTTATATTGGAGTTTAATGTTCTGTATATGTAGTAGGTGCAGTAGTATGAGTGTATGTCTTGTATATTTAGTAGGTTCAGGCTTTCGAAAAGTGATGGGGTGTGTTGTCTGGCACAGGAGCTGGTATTTATCCACACAGCAGCTTTTTGTTGGGTTATTAAAGGTTTAAGGTGGTTGGCTGTGGTTGATCCCCAGTTACAAGTACCATAGGTGAGGTAGGGATATATTAGAGAGTGGTATAGGGTATGGAGTGTCGTTTGGGGGTACATAGTATCGTATCTTGGAAAGGATGCCTACGATTTGGAAATTTTCTTGGATAATTGCTGAATGTGGGAATGAAATTTACGATTACAGTCAAGGTGAAGACCTAGAAATTTACCCTCAGTGTATTTTGTGATAGGCGAACCATTTATCGATACGTTAAGTTGGATATTTAAGGCTCTGTTTCCAGACAGCATGATGTATGTTTTGACTTACATTGCGGTTAGTTAAGTAAGCAAGCTTATTCATGTACAGTTATGCATTCCTTTTGAATGGTTGCAATTCTCATATATGTATAAGTAAATTATAATAATAATAATAATGATAATAATCATAATAATAATAATGTTTATTTCTACCAGTAGATGATACAACTTATACAGACCATAGCTGACACCAATGACATTCTATATAGAAAGTTCCTGGTTATGTAGAACATTTCTGGTAACTTAGGTTAATTTTGTCTCCAGGATGCCACTCACACCAGTCCACTAACACCCAGGCACCTACTTACTGTTAGATGAACGGTGACAGCAAGTCTGTCAAGAAAATATGTCCTAATGTTTCCACCCATACCGGGGATCGAACCATGGACTTCAGTGTGTGAGCTGAGCGCTTTACCAACCCAGCCATGGGACACCTCAAATGTTAAAGTGACTTATTTTCATTGGGGTCCTTGATTTTTGCAGTAAGCCATATTCAGGTCCTCCCATTCCTTGGATCATACTTAATTGTCTCATTATGAACTGTATTTTCCCTCTGGGTTTAACACTTCCCTTGATTATAATGATTTATTTAGGTTCTCTCTTGTTAAAAAGCCCCTCAGATGAGATGCCTTGATGCTGGCACAGGGCTCTTGATCCAAGGAATTGAACTGATCATCCCTGATCTCAGGAAAAAACGAATACTTTTCATTCCCCAGGTGCTGTACCTTCAAGATGCCTTTAAGGAAATGATGCTGCTAAGGGATTCTTGATCCATAGTTTACCTGGAGAGTTTACCTGGAGAGAGTTCCGGGGGTCAATGCCCCCGCGGCCCGGTCTGTGACCAGGCCTCCTTAGGTCAGTGTCCCAGGATGCGACCCACACCAGTCGACTAACACCCAGGTACCCATTTTACTGATGGGGAACATAGACAACAGGTGGAAAGAAACACGTCCAATGTTTCTACTCTGGCTGGGAATCGAACCCAGACCCTTGCCGTGTGAAGCGAGAGCGTTAACCACCAGGCCACCAGAGCCCCCTCATTCACTCATTCACTCACTCACTTTCTCACTTCCTCACTCACTTTATTTTTACGTTATTGGTTATCCCACTTTGGTGGGAAATGGCCAGCGTGTTAGAAGAAATTGAAAACTTCGTATTTTTTCAGAAACACTAGCCAATTTCCTCATTGGAGAAGGAAAGCTTGAGTCATATCTGGAGGAGAATCCCCCAACAGAGAGTAACATTCCTAAAGCTAAAAATGGTTTGGCCGAAGCACGAAGGTATCTACTCATGTGCATCGGAGAACCAGCCAAGAAGGTGAGATACAATCCTACTGTACAAGGTACAAGTACAGTGGACCCCCGGTTAACGATATTTTTTCATTCCAGAAGTATGTTCAGGTGCCAGTACTGACCGAATTTGTTCCCATAAGGAATATTGTGAAGTAGATTAGTCCATTTCAGACCCCCAAACATACACGTACAAACGCACTTACATAAATACACTTACATAATTGGTCGCATTGGGAGGTGATCGTTAAGCGGGGGTCCACTGTATACATAAGTACAATTATCATGCACAGTAACTTGTGTAAATTTCCCATGAAAGTGACTTATTTCCATTGGGATCATTCTGTTGTCCTTTTATGTTATGTTATGTAAATGTAACTAAGTGAAATCTTGCTTTTAAATGGTAAAAAGAGAGTTGAGATAGATTGGGTAATCTCTTAGGTAGCACTAATTTGATGGCTGATTGCATGAGTACATTTAGGTAGTGTGTGCCTCCAGTTTAATGGATGGAGGATCGAGCCTCCACCACTGCTTACACTTAATGACCCATATGGTTTAGCACTTCATATAAATACATATAAATGAATGGTTAAAATTTGATTCTCGTATGCCTTGGCGTCATGCAGTAATGCTGTATCTTATGAATATCATCCCCCTGGTGGAAGATTTAAACACTTGTTTCTTGTCCATGCTCAAGGGACGCAATAGAGGTTCACATTTTTCTTTGACATGTCAATTATCGTGCTTATACAGCTATTGAAATGCATAATCCTTGGCCCTATACATGACACATCATAATTTTGTGGTGGTATTGATCCTTAGTGACAGTTACGAGAAGTAGTTATTGTCCATTTTGTACTTTACTGACCATTACAGACAGGCCCTGCTTATACAGCAGGTTAGGTTCCGGGCTACTCTGCAGCCCCGCTTATACAGCAGGTTAGGTTCCGGGCTACTCTGCAGCCCCGCTTATACAGCAGGTTAGGTTCCGGGCTACTCTGCAGCTCTGCTTACACAGCAGGTTAGGTTCCGGGCTACTCTGCAGCCCCGCTTACACAGCAGGTTAGGTTCCGGGCTACTCTGCAGCCCCGCTTATACAGCAGGTTAGGTTCCGGGCTACTCTGCAGCCCCGCTTATACAGCAGGTTAGGTTCCGGGCTACTCTGCAGCCCCGCTTATACAGCAGGTTAGGTTCCGGGCTACTCTGCAGCCCCGCTTATACAGCAGGTTAGGTTCCGGCTACTCTGCAGCCCCGCTTATACAGCAGGTTAGGTTCCGGGCTACTCTGCAGCCCCGCTTATACAGCAGGTTAGGTTCCAGGCTACTGCTGTAGAGTAAAAATCAATGTAATGTGAAATATAACCTTTTTTTACTTTCAAATGTATATAAAAGCCTGATAACATGTTTACACTATTATATATTAAGTGAGCAATAGAGCTAGGCCTAAAAAATACATATACAGTACACACATTACTTACCTTAAAATATTTTTGTCCTTAGCTTATAGCGAGTGGTGAATAAAGGTATTAAGAAACCATACCACGGGTGGGGATAGAACCCACCATCAGAGAGTCATAAAACTCCAGACTGACACATTAGCCACTGACTAACTTGTCAGTCTGGAGTTTTGACTCCCTAATCGTGGGTTCTATTCCCGCCCGTGGGATGGTTTGTTTGCAATTGTGTTATTATGGTTTTGTGAGTCACGAAAACATAGTTATTGTAGGAAGTCTGAATAAATGAAGAATTGGTATATCTGAAAACCACTGTACAGTGGACCCCCGCATAACGATTACCTCCGAATGCGACCAATTATGTAAGTGTATTTGTGTAAGTGCGTTTGTACGTGTATGTTTGGGGGTCTGAAATGGACTAATCTACTTCACAATATTCCTTATGGGAACAAATTCGGTCAGTACTGGCACCTGAACATACTTCTGGAATGAAAAAATATCGTTAACCGGGGGTCCACTGTATTACTAAATGCTGTAAAGTGAGGCACTGTAAGGTGGGGCACTGTAAGGTGGGGCACTGTAAGGTGGGGCACTGTAAGGTGGGGCACTGTAAGGTGGGGCACTGTAAAGTGAGGCACTGTAAAGCAGAGCCTTCCTGTATATGGCAGAAACTACTCTAGTTGCCTGGAAATAGTGTTCAAATGATAGAAATTTTTATTTGGTAGACAGTAGCAAAGGCCAACGTGATTTTCAAGACTTTTAGGATGAAAACAGTTTATTATATGATGATTCACCCACAGTGAGGCTTGATAGAGTCCCACTGTAAGTGAAATGTCATTAACAAAGACTTTCTCCGGCTAAAAGTATTTTTGCGATTACCAGTTGGTGTTCACTGAAGATATTTTAATAGTGAGGACAGCATTGTTTTATTAAGATACTATAGTGGACAAAAACTGAAGATGGTGGTTTAACCCTCTCTGGGTCGATGTCGTACTAGTACACGTAAATTCTAGCTCCTTCAAATCTAGTGAGAGAAAGCTGGTAGGCCTACATATGAAAGAATGGGTCTGCATGGCCAGTGTGCACAGTATAAAAAAATCCTACAGCACACAGTGTATAATGAGAAAAAAAAAACTCCGACCATGTTTTGTTTAAAACAGCGACTTTGCAGTGTATTTTCGTATGGTATTTATGGTTGTATTCTCGTTTTCTTGGTGTCATTTTATAGATTGGAAGACATATTACAGAAATTGAGATGATTTTGATTGGTTTCACAATGAAAAGTACAGTGGACCACCGGTTTACGATCAGCTCCCAATGCGACCAATTATGTAAGTGTATTTATGTAAGTACGTTTGTATGTGTATGTTTGGGGGTCTGAAATGGACTAATCTAATTCACAATATTCCTTATGGGAACAAATTCAGTCACTACTGGCACCTGAACATACTTCTGGAATGAAATAATGTCATAACCGGGGGTCCACTGTATCTTGAAATTGAGCTCAAAGTAGCAGAAATGTTCGATTTTTGCCACTGTTCAAAAGTAAACAAATCATGCCAAGCGTCCAATACACGTCAATTGGTGAGTCTGATATTCTTTCACAAGTGCCCTGATATTATTTATACCATTTTTCCACTAATGCAGTAGTCTGCATAACAGTAAATCTTCTATTTTTGTGAGAATGAAAGTTCAAAGTGGAAAGCAAAAGAAATATAAGAGGGGCCTGGGGACGTGACTAATGAACAGAGAAAATGTTATTGCCAGGAATGTCTGTCTTGTTTATTCTGGACCCTATTTTGAAATTGGAAATGGGAAGTACAATGCCTGCACTTTAAAGGAGGGGTTTGGGATATTGGCAGTTTGGAGGGATATGTTGTGTATCTCTATACGTATATGCTTCTAAACTGTTGTATTCTGAGCACCTCTGCAAAAACAGTGATAATGTGTGAGTGTGGTGAAAGTGTTGAATGATGATGAAAGTATTTTCTTTTTGGGGATTTTCTTTCTTTTTTGGGTCACCCTGCCTCGGTGGGAGACGACCGACTTGTTGAAAAAAAAAAATTGAAATTGGCATCTTTTGAAATTTGTGTGAAATTGGCAAAATTGCCAATTTCTGACCACTTTATTGGATGGTTGAAATTGGTAATTGGCTGGTTTCTTGTACTCATTTGATAGAACAAATAGAGTTCTAATGAAATAGCTATGATTTTTGTTGACTGGTGCATTGGAATTGGCCGAAAATAAGGCTCAAAGTGGGCAAAATTACCGATGCGTAAACATCGTCGAGACTGCTAACTTTGCTAGAGCATAATTCCGTAACTTACATAAAATTTCATACTTTTGGTGTCATTATGATCGGGAAAAGATTCTCCATTTTTTTTTTTTTTTTTTTTTTCGAAAAATTTTCGACCCTGAGAACAGGGTTAAAAGTAGAGTTAGTATTAATAATAGTATAATACCCTAGTGTATAAGATTGGCAATAATGCCTGTTTAGCTATAACTTTGTACAGTGGACCCCCGGTTTACGATATTATTTCATTCCAGAAGTATGTTCAGGTGCCATTACTGAACGAATTTGTTCCCACAAGGAATATTGTGAAGTAGATTAGTCCATTTCAGACCCCAAACATACACATACAAGCGCACTTACATAAATACACTTACATAATTGGTCGCATTGGGAGCTGATCGTAAAGCGGGGGTCCACTGTACTGTAGGTTTAATAGAGAAATGCCTAGGCATGCTAGTGGCTTTCTTTGAAGTAGAAGGGACCTGCGTTAAGGAATTTTCTGCTTCCTGTCAGCATCCTGTCATCTCCTAGACCCACAGTCAGTTTTCTTATGTCAATAACTATAGCATAATTGTCATAATTGATGCTTGATCATGCATGTGGGCTATAGCCTGTAATTTTTTTACATGATGGTAGGATTGCTGGTGTCTTTTGTCTGTCTCATAAACATGCAAGATTTCAGGTACGTCTTGCTACTTCTACTTACACTTAGGTCACACTACACATACATGTACAAGCATATATATACACACCCCTCTGGGTTTTCTGCTATTTTCTTTCTAGTTCTTGTTCTTGTTTATTTCCTCTTTTCTCCATGGGGAAGTGGAACAGAATTCTTCCTCCGTAAGCCATGCGTGTCGTAAGAGGTGACTGAAATGCTGGGAGCAAGGGGTTAGTAACCCCTTCTCCTGTATATATTACTAAATTTGAAAGGAGAAACTTTTGTTTTTCTTTTTGGGCCACCCCACCTCGGTGGGATACGGCTGGTACGTTGAAAGAAAGAAGAATTTTTATAACAATGTTTGGTATAAACCTTGGTAGTAGATTCCAGCGAATTGGTTTAGAAATACACATGAGGACGCACTAGCACACATTTATTAGAAAACATTTTGGAGATAGGTGGGTAGTGGGTGGAGGTGTGAGTGCATAATTACATGTTCATTCCTTAATATTGACATAGGGCTTTTGATTCGAGGAATTGGAGCTCCTTTTCCCCTCGAATCAAACTTCCTCTCCTTCCCCATGTATCACATGATCCTCTATGGGTTTAACACTTCTCCAT